ATTTTTTTTTTTTAAACAGTTGGAATTATCCCATATACACAATTTTGTTTTTCACTTTTCTAATTAACAACATACATTTCCCCATGGGCTTGTGTCTCATCTCTCAATCCCCAGTGTTTAGCAAAGGACCAGGCTCAGGGGCACTTACAAATGTTTGTTGAATCCAAGGACATCCTATATTATAGAAATGAACTTCGGAAAGACCAGTTAGCGTGGGTGGGTGAGGAATGCCGGAGACGGGGGAACAGAATGAGGTATACCATCAGGTTTGAAGACTTGAGGGTTATCGAGGGTTTGTCATAGGAAATTCACCATGGAGTTCTTGGAACCATACAACACACAGAAGCAAGGTCCTCTTTCCAGGTATGGCTAGAAATGTTTATCAACAGCTGAGACTCTGATTCCTAGGGTGGGATGAGGAAGCCAGCCTCAGCTGCTGCTGCATTTCCCCCCCTTTTTCTCATTACAGGAGCCAACAAAACTGTCAAAGCAGATGATGCAAGAGTGAAGCTGATTCAGAAATACTCAATGCCCTCTGAAACATCTCTAAGAAACGGACTGACCAACCTGTAAGCTTCCATCTGGAGGTACCTGGGGAAAGGCTTCTTACAGTGAAGTCAGTAAGAATCCCTAGTGGGCCAGGTGTGGTGGTTCATGCCTGTAATCTCAGCACTTTGGGAGGTCAAGGCGGGCTGACTGGTTGAGCTCAGGAGTTCAAGACCAGCCTGGGCAACATGGTAAAATCTCATCTCCACGAAAAAACAAAAAAACAAAAAACAAAAAAAGCCAGGCATGCTAGCTCGAGCCTGTAGACCCTGGAAGGCTGAGGTGGGAGTATCACCTGAGCCTGAGGGGTTGATGCTGCAGTGAGCTGTGATGGCGCTACTGTACTCTAGCCTGGGTGCCAGAGAAAGACCCATCTCAAAAAACAAAACAAAGCAAACAAACAAATAACCTCTAGTGATTATAGCCACAGGGAGACAAGTTCAGTCTGTAATTTGCTACAGTGCAAAAATATCTGGCTTTCTGTAGAGGGAGTGGGAACAAGGCAATGCTGGCCTTCACGCAATCAGAAACTTGACTTGTACCCGTTGAAAACCTGTCACGTTTAAGGCTTGGGTTTTTTTTCTTCTAGTAAAGACACTTTACTGCCATCTGCTGGAAAAGCATCAGAAATTTTCCAAATGCAAACATCTATGGCTTCCCTATAACGTAGCATCCTTTTACTGTACAGTCTGCACAACTGTACAATTCAGAAGAGAAACTAACATTTGGTGTAACTCTACCATATGCCAGACATCTGTCATCGAACCTGAACCACCACTCTATGAAATCAGTACTTATACTCCAATTTAACAGAGAGAAAATATTGGGACCTCTGGGGAAGGGAGGAAGAGGGTATCAGCAAAAAAGGGCAAAAGGGGGGCGTGGTCTATATTGGTAATGGAAATTCAACTTGGGTGGTAGGATTATGGATGTGTTACAGCTTTCTTTATAATTTGGTACATGCCTAGAATGTTTTCCAGTAACAGTTTTTTTTTTTTTTTGAGACGGAGTCTTGCTCCGTTGCCCAGGCTGGAGTGTAGTGGCGCGATCTCGGCTCATTGCAAGCTCCGCCTCCCGGGTTCATGCCATTCTCCTGCCTCAGCCTCCCGGGTAGCTGGGACTACAGGCGCCCGCCACTATGCCCGGCTAATTTTTTGTATTTTTAGTAGAGACGGGGTTTCACCGTGTTAGCCAGGATGGTCTCCATCTCCTGACCTCATGATCCACCCGCCTTGGTCTCCCAAAGTGCTGGGATTACAGGTGCAAGCCACCGCGCCCGGCTACAATAACAATTTAAATCACCTGTGAAGAAAAGATTCAGCGAGGTTAACTGATCCAAAAAATCACATTGCCAGACAGAACTCTATTAGAGGTAGGCCACTTGCAGTAACATTACATTGCTTATCTGATGGTTAAATTTAGCACAGAATCAAAGGAGAGCTATAAAGTCTAGGAAGTACTTATTTACTTAGGATTGAGTCCAGAACATCTTGTGACACCTTCTACATACCTGTTTTACTTGGAGAATAGTCTGAATTTTCTATTACAGGTTGAGCATTCCTAATTTGAAAATATAAAATCCTCAAAAATCTTAAAATTTTTGAGCATCAACATGATGCCTAAAGTAAATGCTCATTGGAATATTTCAAATTTCAGATTAGGAATATTCAACTGGTATATATTCTGCAAATATTCCAAAGTCCAAAAAAATTCAAAACACTTCTGGTCTGAACCATTTTGGATAAGGGATATTCAACCTATATTACATACAGGTAATATAGCAAGGGAAAAGCAGGGAGACTGAAGCATCTAAGTCTACTAGCCTTCAGATACCTATTTATCAGGGTCTCTTAAATAAACTTACTTCTCATGTTAGTTCAGTCTGGCCTGTGGCTTGTAATTACAGCTGCAAACTCAAGGACAAAGTTCTTATGATTTTGAGATGCTCTTTATGCAACAATACTTTCTTTTACTTTGTGTGTGTGTGTGTGTGTGTGTGTGTGTGTGTGTGTAGGGAGAGTAAAGAGGATGGCAATGGAGTGGAGAGTGGAACTACAATTTATTAAGCACCTATTATTACAAGCCAAGTGGGGTGTTGAGCATTTTTCTTGTGCCATTCTATTCAATACTCTTCGATCCTGAGGGAAAATGAACCTACTTAAAAAACAAAACAAAACAAAACAAAAGGTTTTAATGAGGATTGCATAAGACATGCAAGGTCACCAGGGAGTTTACATGCAAGTGGGGAGACACAAAATAATACAACAAAAGTTCAGGTATTCTGAGGAAAAAGAAGGGCAAGGATAGTGATGACAGTAGGGGAAGCAGGACTCAAGGTAAAAAAAATTTTAGACTCATTTTTTGAGGAAGGAACTGAGGATGACCTTACTACATAGCCTTTTTGGTTAAGTGTTTCTTTAACTAGGAAAAGGCCGTGGGAAGACAGCCTCTCTACTATGCAAACCCAATTCCAATCTTGGGAGAGAATCTCCTGGTGGGACAAAATTAGGTTTTTCAAGAGATACTTAAATGGTCAGTTCTAATTATAACCATACTTGTCAAAAGGCGAAGCAAAGATGAAAGTTAAAAACTGAGAAGAAATTAAAATGCCCACATCTGTCAACCAATCTCTAATTTTCTCTGCTACTTTAGGACTACAGTAATTAGCCATACCCTGAGGATCTACTTTACAAAATATATTGTCTGACCAGTCCCACTCTAACAATTTAATCTATCTCATGTAAGTTGGACAGGCATTTCAAGTACAAGAAACAGAATTCAAAACGTGAAAACTGAGCCATCTATCACACACGGTGTCGGTTGGAGAAGCATATTGCTCAGGCTGCAGGGACATTTCATTTATTTAAATGTTTTTATTAAAAAAAAAAAAATTAAAGACCTTCATGGCACAACTTCTTCCCAGCACAATTATGTTTTAGTTATACCAATTACAATACAATTACAACCAATAAATCAAGGTGGGGGAGGGACTTCTGGCTTCAAACTTAAAGAAAAGCAGAGGAAGAGGGGAGGGACCACTTCAAACAAAGTTTAAAAATACTTTAAAAAATCTTTCAGAGTAATTGCCAACATAACTTTTTATATCGGCCATTCCATCTCCTGCCATCTAAGCAATGCAGACACAGGTAGTGCTGAGAAATAAAGTGTCCCAATACAAGGTATACAGATGAGGTAATTTACAACAACACATAAGTTGTTACTCTGTAAACCCTTGCCTCCCCCCCACCCCCCACCCAACTGGGTCTTTTGTTTTTTTGTTTTTCTCTCTCCATGCTTCTGCAGTGACTCTAAGTAGCATTTTTAAAAACTTCTATTTATTTTAAAAGGCTCTTGGGTGGCACCTCAGAGTCCTCTGCATTCACCTTCGGTTTCTTCCAAGGTCTGATGGGTGTAAGGAGGTCCAGCTGTCTGCAGCTCTCCGCATCAGCCTAAGCTACACCTAAATTTCCGAGCTACAAGGATCGGGTGTGAAGTCTTGATTTACAACCCTCTCCCCACCTCAAAAGAAAGAACTCATTAGTTATAAGTGTCCTGTTCAAATCACAATCCAGTGCAAACATAATCACAAATTGCATCTCTGGCACATCTGGTGCTTTTAGCTTCTGCACAAATTCAACATGGTAACCCTCACAGCATTCTAGGGCATAAAAGGGTCAAGTACAATAAATATCCACTGTAAGTGGTCATAAGGAAGAAAATCACCCTGCCACACAGTCAGAATGTTTTCCCTTCAACTCTCCCTATCGTTGAGAAGCGCTATGAAAGGAGGCTTTAGCGTCCTCTAAAGTTAACCATTAAATTCACTAAAGCCACCACCTTGATAAAGTTACTAAAGCCAAGATGGGTTACAAAGTTAGATAAGTTCATTAAATTCAACTCCCCAAACAATTACGTTTACCTATGATGCCTAGGTGAGAAAGGCCTGTGAATCTATAAAGGTAGGAGAATGGGGAACTAAGATTTTAGGCCTTAAAGTATGTTGGAAGAATTTTTCCTAGTTCCCACAAGCAGCTACTGTAATGAATTAACAGGAGAAAATACAGAGCTGATGGTTTTGCTATTGTGCTTAAAAAACTAGGCTTCCTCAGTGAAGCACCTGATAAACTTAGGTGGTTGGATTACAGTGGAAAGTCCACTTTACACACACACACACAAACACACAAAAACTGGCGACTTTTTCCATCCCCAATCCCTGCACTGCTGAGACACAAAATGAGTTTTATGGCAAAGGATCCTTAATCCCCAGAGACGCTTTGGCTTGTGGTGCTTTTTTTTAAGGCCTCTCTGCCCTGCCCGGTACCATGGGTCGAACGAGGGGTGTATAAAAGTGGGGGCCTTGGGAAGCCTCCACGGTACAGGGCTGCAGGCCCCTCAGATGTGAACATGAGACACCCACCCAGCAAGACCTTTACACAGGGAACTTAAATCTAACCTTGATAAATAAAACCAAACGTTTATTTACACCAAAGAATTCCAACACTGGATCTTTCACATATGAAGGACAAAGTATTATATATATACACACAGCAAGGGGTGGCAAGGCTGTAACAAGAGAGTTTATAGTTTTCCCACAATTACAGGTCTACCATTTCAGCTTCAATGGAGATAGTGGCTTTGCTCCTATCTCTCAAGATACATTTACAAGACTGAGGAGCAGGTCTTCTCACTGGATGGCATGTGAGGGAAGGGGAAGGTCAGAGGAAAAGAAGTAGAAAGCTTAAAATGGAACTCAGTGTGGCCACATCTCCCATTAGCTCTAGCATGAAACCTGTATAGACAATGTTTGTTTCTTTTGTAAAAAGCAATAAGTTATGCCCAGTAACTAAATGAATTCAAAATGGCCAAGACAAAGAAAACTGAGAAAGATTTTGCCTTCCCCCTCCTACCAGCTATGGAGCACAGCATATTGGGAGATGAACAGGGAAAACACCAAGGTAAGGAGCCTGGGAGGGAAGGTATCAAAATTTTAAACTGAACTAAAACTAAAATTATAAATGAGTTGGATTTAGGGTTAGATCAATAAGACATGATTCTTACTGAACAGAAGTTTTTAGTATCTGTCTGCATTTCGGGTAGATTTTCAACATCTCGATGTAACTAAGACACACTTCCACGAGAGCCATTAGGATAACCCCACTGAAGCGCTTATGGAGTAAAGTGATGTAAGTGACCAGCAAGCAGTCCACTGCTCCTACAGATTGGGTCCTCCCTTCCTTCTTTCCTTCCTGCCTCCTTTCTTCCCGCCTCCCCTGAGAAGCTACATTTTTGTAATCTCTGAAGAAGGGCACGAGATACCAACCCCCTAAAGTGTGGGATGGTGGAGGACAATGGTGGGAATGGGAAGAAATCTCCACCCAAATGCAGCAGCCGGGATTGAGGCTGGTTTATCTTTGCTCTTTTGTGATGAGGAACTAAATTTGGGAGGGGAGAAAAAAAATTTGTCCATGAAATATTCCACCTGCAGGTAATTTTTCAGGGAATCCCCTGAGTTATGAAAAGTTCGAGTTTAAAAAAAAAAAAAGAAAAAAGAAAAAAGAAAATCAGCCTATTATAATTTTTTTTTTTATGACTGAACTACTATAAATCCACAAGCAACGGTTCAGACACGGTGCTTCTGAAGTGTTTCACCCCTCCCCACCAGGCGCAAGCTGCATCAAGGAGAGGGTGGACTCCCCCACCTCTGCTCAGGCATCAGGAGACAGATAGGGCCGTTACTGCTGAGCGCCAGCGGCAGCTGGAACAGGCATCCCAAGGGGGTTGGCAGCAGCAATCACTGGTGAGCCTGCCAGAGGTCCAAGGGGTGAAGGGGTTGGCACTGAAGAAATCCCTGAAAGAAAACAGCTGTCAGTGAGCCAAAGACACCAACCATGGCAATATTACCAGTTTCTCATAGCACTCACTGCAAAAGGAACACAGTAATTCTTTATTGAAGACTTCTTCTTAGCCAGATTTTTACTTATACTTCAAGTCTGATCCTCAAATATTCAAGTTAAAGTGGCAAGTCCTAATCAATTTAAGAGGCAGGTAAAGATATCTAGGCTTGGACAGCTTAAGGAGTTTGTCCAAAGTACACAATTAGCAAGTGGCAACCATGGTTTGGATTCTAACCCAGGCCTGTCTAGGGCAGAGATGTCCAACCAGGTGACCAGTAGCCAACCACATGTGGCTGCTGAGCACTTGAAATACGGCTAGTGCAACTGAGGAACTACGTTTTAAATTTTATTCAATTGCAATTAAATAGCCTCATATGGCTAGTCACTACCATACTGAACAGCACAGGACTGCAGTCAAAGCTCATGTGCTCTTACACCATGCTGTCTTGATAGCTGGCAGCTTTCAAAATTACTAAAAGTCAATTTGAATGGGGAAAGAGCACTTTCTGTCTAAGCTAAAATTGTGTTTTGGAATTTATTTCCATTTGATTTCTTCTACCTCTCTAATCGTGTGTGTGTGTGTGTGTACACACACAGGTAATATATTCACATGGTTCAAAATACAAAAGGTTAAAAAAGTATACAAAGGCCAGGTGCAGTGGCTCACACCTATAATGTCAGCACTTTGGGAGGCTGACATGAGTGGATCACCTGAGGTCAGGAGTTCAAGACCAGCCTGGCCAACATGGTGAACCCCCCCCCAATCTCTACTAATAATACAAAAAAATTAGCCGGGCGGTGTGGCACACGCCTGTAATCCCAGCTACTTGGGAAGCTGAGGCAGGAGAATCACTTGAACCCAGGAGGCGGAGGTTGCAGTGAGCCAAGATCGCACCATTGCACTCCAGCCTGGGAAACAGAGTGAGACAAAACAAAAAACCCAAAAAAGTATACAGTGAAAAATCTCCCACACCCTATTGCTTGGCCAACTTATGGCACCATTTTTGGGGGCATATCCTTCCAGAGATATTTAACACATGTACATGAATATAATTTTGTAAGAATATGCATATAAGAATCATATATAGGCCAGGTGCAGTCGTTCATGCCTATAATCCCAACACTTTGGGAGGATGAGCTGGCTGGATCACTTGAGGTCAGGAGTTCGAGACCAGCCTGGTCAACATGGTGAAACCCCATGTCTACTAAAAATACAAAAATTAGCTGGGCATGATGGCAGGCGCCTGCAGTCCCAGCTACCTAGGAGGCTGAGGTGGGAGAATCACTTGAACCCAGGAGGCAGAGGCTGCAGTGGCTCAAACTGTGCCACTGCACTCTAGCCTGGGTGACAGAGCAAGACCCCGTCTCAAAAAAAAAAAAAAAAAAAAAAAATCATATATGAGAACACTATTTATACATTCTTCTCCACTCCTGCTCTTAGACCTGGCTTTGCATCTCACTTTTTTTGAGACAGACTCTCACGCTCACCCAGGCTGGAGCGCAGCGGTGGGTGCAATTTTGGCTCACTGCAATCTCTGCCTCCTAGATTCAAGCGATTATCTTGCCTTAGCCTCCAAGTAGCTGGGATTAAAGGAGGGATTAAAGGAGCCTGCCACCATGCCCAGCTAATTTTTTGTATTTCCAGTAGAGACAGGGTTTTGCCATGCTGACCAGGCTGGTCTCGAACTCCTGACCTCAAGTGAGCCAACTGCCTCAGCCTCCCAAAGTGCTGTGATCACAGGCATGAGCCACTGCACCTGGCCCTGCATCTTGCGTTTTAAATTTCACATTATTATATTGGAGTTGGAGATCTAACAGAACATGAAACACTTATTCATTCTTTTCTCTGGCTGCATCATAGTCCATTAAATGGATATACCATAATTGATTTAACCAGTTTCCTACTGATAGCTATTCTCAATGTTTTGTTATTACAAATAAGGCTACAAGTAAGTTTGGATATACATTACTCTGTACAGAGGTAGGATACTCAAGGGGTAAATTCTAGAAGGCAGCTAGTTCTTTTTTTAAAAAAAAAGGGGGAGGGGAACAGCAATTATTTGAGGGTATGTAAGTAAATGCCTTCACTACCACAGTGCACCCACTTGGATGTTGCCTACATGTCTAATTCTCATGCTATGTGCCTGTAGTTCCTTTGGAATAATTGGGTCCTCTATAAAGATTCACTATACATCATAATGATTCAATAATGAAAAACAATTTTACTTATGTTTTTACAACTGATAGGCACTCTATAGTTACTGTGGCAAATAACACAAAACTGTCCTTGTACACATACACACCTATGCACAAACCCCACCTCTATACCCATTTCTTAACATTGTTTCTAAGGACCACGTAACTACTGTCATTTCAAACTATAAGATGAAATGGTGTTTTTCCTTTTCCTGGCTTGGCATTTTCAAACCCCTATGCCAGAAATTTTCAGTTAGGAATGCTGGAATTCTAGCCTAGAAGGGGATACCCTACTCAAGACAGTTTTATTAAAGTATACCAAGTGTCAAGCATGCTGAAACCTGGTTAAAAAAAAGTCACAAGGCCACCAGTACAGAGAGAAAAGGTATACAAGAAATCAGATCACAAAGCTAAGAATAGTAATTGACTTCCACATTTTTTTGAAGAAAATTTACCAATGAACTGACCTGACATCATATTGGCGCTGCTGACGGGCGTACTGCCCCCTGGCATGCTAGATGAACCCATTCGAGCCTGGTCCTTCACAACAGTGTCTAAAAAAGAGACAAAAAGGCTAGGTTCTGTTTTGCTTGAAAGATTAAACTAATGGTCTGGGAGCCTGAAAGCAGCCAGCTTCATTCTTTGCGTTTTATTTATACTCTACATTATTCCCCAAAGAACTTAAGGTGGCAATTGCCTTCACCATTAGACAAGTGGTAAAAAATAGAAATAGCTTTTCTATCAAACTGTGGTAAAAGCTAACCCTTCAACCAAATGGTAGAAAGATGAGGTAATTATTTATAGTAGAGCTAATTTAAAATGAAGCTGGTCCTGTTGAGGTTTAATGGAGACAAGACACTGTAACTTGGCAAAGACAGTAATATATTACCAGTGTGCTCACAGCTCAGTACCAAGTAGGACAAAGCTATAGGTCCATGTAGGTTAGGGCTATGACCACATTCTCTATCCCAATCAGCCTGTCTGTCTGCTTCAGGTACAGGAGACTGGGCAAAAGTATAAATGATTCACTAGAAAACCATTACACTATTACCAAAGGAAAAATGTAATGTTGTAGCTAACATCACAGTAAGGATGGGGTGGATCTAAGTGGTATTTTCACTTAGAAAGGCACAGGTGGCTATATTCGCAAATCTAAGTCAAGGTGTTCATACAATATTAAGATTTGTAAGCCTCATTAGCCCTTTCCAATGAGTGATTACTAGAGAAAGGACAGATACAGGGCTGTGTATTCTAATTCAAACCATTCCAGACTGAGGTGTCATCCTCATAGTATGAAAGAAGTGTATTTAGGAATGCTCTTGTGTCATGTATTCTATTAGAGAAGAATTCTTCCAAAAATTCTGCAATGTAGTTGCCATCACTATCCCCACTGAAAGAATCTGAGGCTCAGTGTGGGTGAATTAACTTTGCAGCAAGCCAACAGGAGCTGGGATTGCGACTCTGTTCTATAGGACTCTGGGCCTACACAAACTCAGTGGGCTAGATATCTGGACTCACAGAAATAGGGGTGTTCCATGGCCTCTCTTGCAGTAAGCCGTGACTGGTGGTCATATCGCAGCAGTTTGTCCAGGAAATCCAAGGCCTCAGGGCTGACAAGGTGCTGATTTTCACTGTGGACAAAGCGTTCCCATCGCTTTCGAGAGTGTCTGCAGGACCAAAAGAGGGAATGAGAAATGGGCCACGTGGGCAGAGAAGTTTGACATTTCATTTCTACATTTTTCTTAGTGGCTAAAAGCCCAGCCAAAAGCAAAGAGGGATCAAAACTCAAGAGAGTAATCTTGCACCACTGTGCCACTGAGTGGGACAACAAAGCTAACTGGAGACTGGAAATAACATAGGTAGAGTAAATAAAGACATCTGAGTCCTCTCAGTTTTAAGAAACATAATTCAGGTTACTTGACAGGACGTGACTGCTTCTGTGTAGCAAGGAGGGTCAGACGGCTGAGCTCACCAGGCCTATTTCCCATCCCCACACATATTCCTGGCATCTCTGCCACTTGGCCAGAAAAAGCCTTTGCATCAGGAAAGTCCGTCTCCTCCTGTTAAATGGTTAAGTGTTTAAGTACTGTATCTAGTCACTACTGTTAGAGTTGGTTGTCTGCATATAGTCTTTTTTTTTTTTTTTTTTTTTGTGAGATAGGGTCTCACTGTTGCCCAGGCTGGAGTGCAGCCACATGTTCACGGCTCTCTGCAGCACTCCCTCCTGGGCTCAAGGGAAGCTCCTGCCTCAGCTTCCTGGTAGTCTGGACTACTGGCACACATCACCATCCAGGGCTGACTTTTTATTTTTTCATGGAGTCGAGGGTCTCATTATGTAGCCCTGGCTGGTCTCCAACTCCGGGGCTCAAGTGATCCTCCTGCCTTGGCCTCCTAAAGTTCTGGGATTACAGATATAAGTCACTGTGCCCAGCCTGCACATCAGTCTTAAAGCATGCATTTTCTATTTCAATTTCTTTCTCTTGGAGAGAGGTTTTTCACTTAAAGAAGCAAGGTAAATGAAGACAGATTTTGATTTTTGCCTCAACTGTAACCCTTCTACTAGAATCTATACTTCATTCATTTTGTAGGAATCCTCTAGCTATAATCCCTCCATCAGACTCCTATAAGTGAATTTGAATAAAGGGCCATTCAATGCAATGCCTTTATCAGAGGCCTGCTCAATGCAGCATCCTGTGGCACTGGACCACTGACATTCTGACAGTGTTGGCGAAGAGAATGTAACTGTTTTGAAGATCCTAAGTGCCAGTTCACACCCAAAGTGCTTAAGCCACAGACGCAGGTATTTTGTTTCATGACTTACCTGCCCAAGATATCATTGAAACGTGGATCTAATTCAATGTTGTATTTGTCAATATAGTCATATAAATCTTCTGTCCCCAGAACCTTGGCTATCCTCACCAACTAGTATTAAAGAAAGACAAAAACCCATACCACAAGCATATTATATGATCAAATCAACAATTAATAATGACTGAATTAACACAAAGGGGTCATCATGTCTATAGGTATGAATGCTGCCTCCTAACAGTTTTAGACTTCAACTCAATGGGATAGTGTTAGAAAAAGCAAACTACTTTATAAACCGGTTTCTTTCTCTTGAAATGTCATCCTGGCGAACTCTTATTTTTCTCCCCTTTTGGGAAGCTCCCATTGCACACTCAAACCACTCATCGCTACTGCCTTTTGTGCCTTGTCCACACTTCTACTCTGAAGTTATGACTATAATCTATTTTGTTGTACGTTTGACTCCCTTACAAGATCAACTATGAACTACTCGAGGGAAGAACTATTCTTTCTTTTTCTGTATTCCTCAGTACTGCATGACTTGATACAGAGTTACTGACTTTAATGGAATTCAGGTTGTATTCTTTAAATACATTAAAATTGGACATGGCACTCAAAGGGAACAAGGCAATGGTACCTTCCACAAGGTCCTAGAATCATTCCAGGTTCTTGTGAATGAAAGAGCCCTTTGATCTTCAAGGGGGAAGTGGAGTTAGTTTAAGAAACATCTATAACTTAACCCATATAAAGAGACAAAAGGATCACAGAAATAATAGGCTAACATATTAGAGAAAACTTCGTATTGGAGAGTAACGTTGTATTAGGAGAATTCTAAGGTAATGTCCTATTTTAAAAATCTGGATGACAATTTGTATGTATTCTTCACAATAAAACAAGCAATGCAAACGACAAGGACTAAGAGGGAAAGTCTGATTTCAAAAGGCTAAGCTGGTAGCTCCCAAAACATCAATCTAAGGATCAATATCAGGGTGGCTGAACAAACAGTGAACTGAAAATTATAGGCAGTCCCGTCTATCAGTGCATTAGACTAGTAAATTTTTCAATAGGTATAACATATATTACCTGATCATAATTGTCATGTCCATGGAAAAATGGCTCCTTCCGAAAGATCATACTTGCCAGCATACAACCCAAACTCCACATATCCAAACTATAATCGTACATCTGCATAAAAGTAAACTCACTGTTATTATTTGTGAATCCCCAGGCTTGTCACTTCAAAATAAAAGATTTAAAAAAAAAAATCACTCCACTGACTCAAAATCAAAACACTAATAACATCTTCATCTATTTCATTTTAGTCCTTTTTTTTTTTTTTTTGGAGACAGAGTCTCACTCTGCTGCCCAGGCTGCAATGCAGTGGCACAATCGTGGCTCACCACAACCTCCGCCTCCCGGGTTCAAGCGATTCTCCTGCCTCAGCCTCCTGAGTAGCTGGAACTACAGGTGCGTGCCACCATGCCCAGCTAATTTTGTATTTTTAGCAGAGGCGAGGTTTCACTATGTTGGCCAGGCTGGTCTTGAACGCCTGACCTCATGATCCACTCGCCTTAGGCTCCCAAAGTGCTAGGATCACAGGTATGAGCCACCGCGCCTGGCTAGTTTTTTCTTTCACGCATCTTTCACTAGGTTTTAAGATAATTTTTACTTTTTTTTTTTTTTGAGACGGAGTCTCGCTCTGTCGCCCAGCCTGGAGTGCAGTGGTCGGATCTCGGCTCACTGCAAGCTCCGCCTCCCGGGTTTACGCCATTCTCCTACCTCAGCCTCCCGAGTAGCTGGGACTACAGACGCTCGCCACCTCGCCCGGCTATTTTTTTGTATTTTTTTTACTAGAGACGGGGTTTCATCGGGTTAGCCAGGATGGTCTCGATCTCCTGACCTCGTGATCCGCCCGTCTCGGCCTCCCAAAGTGCTGGGATTACAGGCTTGAGCCACCGCGCCCGGCCTACTTTTTAAAATTTTTAATTTGAGACAGAGTCGCTCTGTCGCACAGACTGGAGTGCAGGGGTGTGATCTTGGCTCATTGCAACCTCAGCTTCCCAGGTTCAAGCAATTCTCTGCCTCAGCCTCCCGAGCAGCTGGGATTACAAATGCCCACCACCATGCCCAGCTAATTTTTTTGTATTTTTAGTAGAGACAGGGTTTCACCATCTTGGCCAGGCTGGTCTTGAACTCCTGACCTCGTGATCCACCTGCCTTGGCCTTTCCAAGTGCTGGGATTACAGGCGTGAGCCACTGTGCCTGGCTTTTTTTTTTTTTTTTTTTAAAGACACAGGGTCTTGCTCTGTTGCTCAGGCTGGAGTGTAGTGGCACGATCATAGCTCACTGTAACCTCCAACTCCTGGGCTTAGGCCTCGAGAAGGTAGGATTACTATGCTCAGCTAATAAACATACTATTTTGAATTGTTTTCTTCACTTACATAAAAAAAACCCCTCCAAATTGTTAGCCCATGGAGACCATCTAATGTGTATCATTAGTATTTTATTACATAAATGTTTCAGAATTTAATCTTTAATTTTCCTATAACAGGACAGTGTTCCGTTTTTCACAATTATTAGTAATACTGTACAAACTATTTTTATGCATAAAATGCTTTTTGAGCTCAGGGCTATAGCCTTAAGATCCCAAGAAAGAAATTCCTACAAGAACAAAGAGTCTGAAACTTTTAAAAACAACTGGTAATAACTTGGAAAGACTGGCATAAAAGATACTCCCAAGAAAACTTCAGATTTTTAAAACTTGGCAAATCTATTATTAATTTGGTTACTTTCTCCTTTTTCTGTGAGGAGAAAGAAGGCTTCTCGGGGGAGCTGGGGAGAAGACCTTTATATTTAGTATACAATTCAGAAGAACAAGAAAACATTCTTGAATTTACTCTGAAGATTGGTTAAACTTAGTTACAGGATGGGCATGGTGGCTCATGCCTGTTATCACAGCACTTTGGGGAGCCAAGGTGGGAGGATGGGTTGTGCCCAGGAGTTTGAGATCAGCCTGGGCAATATAGTGAGACTTTCTCTCTATACACAAAAAATTAAAAATTAGCTGGATGTGGTAGCGCATGCCTGTAGTCCCAGCTACTCAGGAGGCTAAGCTGGGAGGATCACTTGAGCCCAGAAGTTTGGGGCTGCAGTGAGCTATGATCATGGCATTGTACTCCAGCCTGGGCAACAGAGGAAAACCCTGCCTCAAAAAACGAACAAAAGGCCGGGCGCGGTGGTTCATGCCTGTAATCCCAGCACCTAAACGCACAAAATGATACTTTTTTTTTTTTTTTTGTAAATTATGTGCGAAATAAACACAGGACCAAAATTATGCCTGCCCTTCTCTTCTCACCTGATAGTCTACAAGTAGCTCAGGACCTTTGAAGTATCGGGAAGCAACTCGGACATTATATTCTTGGCCAGGATGATAAAACTCAGCCAAACCCCAGTCTATTAGTCGTAGCTGAAAAAGAAAAAATCATGAGCAATTTTATCTTTCTCTAAGATACCCACATTGTGCCATTAGCATACTCTTGATAAAATACACCAGATACGCCACTCTGTACTGAAACCCCTTCACTAACTACTTATGGCCTTCAGGATGAAAACAAAACTTCTCAGCTTGACATACAACTTTCTCCATGATTTTGTTCCTAAAAGACACAATCTCATTTGTGCTTTTACAAATTTCTTAAACTGCTCAATGACTAAAATGTCCCTACGACCCAGCCTATAATCCTATTGGTAAGCATCTCCTTAACTTTTGGGATATTTAAGTTAGCTCCTCAATGAAGTCTTCTCTAATTATCTAGATAGAACTGATCATTGCCTTCAGCCCCCTGAATTTTAGATATATTTCTGTAACAGAACCTAAACTCTTTATTACATGTTTTCTACCTTTCTTTTTCAATATGGATGACAAGCCCTAGGGGGTTTTATTCACCTTTGTAATTTTCAGAATTCAACATAATGCCTGGTATACAGGAGAAAAATGAATAAATATTTGCTGGATAGACGAAATAACAGAAAAGTCATACAATACAGCTTTTACCAAAACGCATCTTAAATATGGAAAAAGGGGTAAGAGGTAAGCTTATCTGCCCACTGTGCACAGCACGACCATGATCTGAAGTGCCAGCAGTAGGCCCTGAGGAATAACATCGGACTCCTCGGGCACTAAGTTTACTGCCTACATCTCAAAACTAAACCTTTGATTACTCCGTGCAAAACTACCTCCACTCATAGTCTCCCCCTGCTCAGTTAAAGGTGATATTCATCCTGTCATATAAGCCAAAACTTAAGATTCACCCTGGATTCTTGTTTCCCTCAGACCTCATATTTAATCTGTCAACAAATCCTGAAGCCTCTACCATATTCTGACCATTATCATCACCTCCACTGCCACTGCCCTGATCCAAGCCACCACCAAGTCTTGTTTGATATACTGCCATAGCCCCTTCTCCTAATTGGTCTCACTGCTTTCATTCTTGCCCTCTAAACAGTTTAATAAATACTAAATAAATAGTTTAATAGTTATTTAAAAAATAATTAAATATTTTAAAATAAACATAAACAGCTTTTTAAAAGGATTGTTCAGGTTGCTATGGAGAGATTATAGATTCACAGGAAATTGCAAAAGTAGTAGAGATTCTCTGTACCCTTTACCCAGTTTCCCCTAATAGTAACATTTTACATAACTACAGTACAATATCAAAACCAAGAAACTGACATTGGTACAATTCAGAAAGATCTTATTCAGGTTTCACCAGTGTTACATGCACGCGCATGTTTGTGTGTGTGTTTCTATGCAATTTTATCATATGTGTAAATTCATATAATCTCAACAAGATATAGAACTGTTCCATCACCACACACGTCTTGTGTGTTAGCCCAACCCCTGGCAACCCCTCTGTTCTTGATCTCTACCATTTTGAGAATGCTACAGAAATGGAGTCACTGGCATATAACTCTTTTTGAGATTGCCTTTTTTCACTAAGCATGAGATCCACCCAAGTTGTTGCAGGTATCATAGTTCTTTCCTTTTTATTGTTGAGAAATACTACTTCATAATAATAATATATGGTATGGATATGCCAGTTTGTTTAACCATTCCCTCATTGAAGGGCACTTCCCCCCCAACCCCTCTTTTTTTTTTTTGAGATGCAGTCTTGCTCTGTCACCCAGGCTGGAACGCAGTGGCACGATCTCGGCTTACTGCAACTTCCACCTCCTGGGTTCGAGCAATTCTCCTGCCTCAGCCTCCTGAGCAGCTAGGATTACAGGTGCATGCCACCACACTCGGCTAATTTTTGTATTTTTTTAGTAGAGACGGGGTTTCACCATGTTGGCCAGGCTGGTCTCCAACTCCTGAACTCGTGACCTGCCGGCCTTGGCCTCCCAAAATGCTGGGATTACAGGCCTAAGCCACCGTGCCCAGCTTTTTCCCTCAATTTTAAGCTATTAAAAATATAGTTGCATTCATATACAGGCTTTTGTGTGGACCTAAGATTTTGTTGCTCTGAGATAAATGCCACTACAGGATTGTATGGTAAGCATACGTTTAGCTTTTCAAGAAACCAACAAACTATAAAACAATAGTTTAGCATTTTCCAAAATGCTGAACTTTACATTCCTACCAGCAATGTATGAGAGATCAAGTTTCTTCACATTTTTTTTAGCACTTGGTACCATCACCATTTTTCATTTTAGCTGTTCTAATAGATGTGTAGTTAACTGTTAAATTTCAAGTGAGAACATGCCAAAGCTTAGAATGTGCAAAAGCTTGGCCGGGCGTGGTGGCTCACGCCTGTAATCCCAGCACTTTGGGAGGCTGAGGTGGGCAGATCACAAGGTCAGGAGATCGAGACCATCCTGGCTAACACGGTAAAGCCCCGTCTCTACTAAAAATACAAAAAAATTAGCCAGGCGCCATGGTGGGCGCCTGTAGTCCCAGCTACTCGGGAGGCTGAGGCAGGAAAATGGTACGAACCCGGGAAGCGGAGCTTTGCAGTGAGCCGACATCACGTCACTGCACTCCAGCCTGGGCGACACAGCGAGACTCTGTCTCAAAAAAAAAAAAAAGAATATGCAAGAATATGCAAAAGCTCTCTATCTTCAGAGAAAAGGCCTAACAATGACCAATAAGGTTTTACATGATTTGGTTTTACCTCTTTGATCTCATTTCCTTCTTTCCCTGCATTCATTCTGTCCCAGCTTTATCCTTGAGGCTCTTCCAACATGCCAAACACATCCTTACCTCAAGGGATTTTGTACTTGCTATTTACTCTGCCTTGGGACATGTTTCTTCGTAAGACTGCATGGCTGGGTCCCTTCCAGTGCTCTCTAAAATGTCACCTTTCCAGTGAAACCTTCCTTTACAACTGGTTTAAAACTGCAAATACCCTCTTGCCATTCACTATTCTTGTTTTTGATTCTACATCAAAATAACTTTCTATCCCACCAGCCTCCCTAAATGTAAGCTCCTAAAAGACAAGCATTTATTGTATGTTTAGTTCACTCATATATCCCTAGCCCCTAGAATGGTGCCTTTGACATACTATGTGCCTAAAAAAATTTAGTTGCATAAACAAATCACCTACCTCCTCAAAGACCACAACAGATAAGTCATCATAGCTTGGTCACCTTAAAAAACTGAAATGTTACAGTATGTGGCCATTACAGCTCTCATGTAAAAACATTTGTAGACAATAGGGGCCTCATGACCAACCTACTAACAGAAATAGCATTTTCTGTATATTTCATCCACTTAACTGTGCACATTTAATTCTCATGAATACCTAGTTGCCTGCAGGGCAATTATTACCCACACTGTTCAAGAAAGAAAAAGAAGGCAAATGAAGACAAAGTAGTGTCTCAGTAAACTAGTTATTCAACAAATAAGACTAGAAGCCACGTTTCTGGGCTTAGAAGATGAACATTTTGCCCACTATACTAATGTTTCCTTCTTGGTAGCATTCTTAGGAATATAAATAATGGTTCAAACATATTGATTTGTAAATTCATTCATTCACCAAATATTTATCAAGGGCCGAATAGGTACTAGGGTCTGTGACAAGGGATAAAGTGTTGAAGATGGGCAATTAACTACATCACGGAGATAAATAACACTTGTCCGTCTATCACTTTACCTTTCTGTGCTCATGATCAATCATGACATTATGGGGCTTCACATCTCTGTGCATAATTCCCATGCTGTGACAATAATCCAGGGCCTGTGGGAGCAACAGGTAAGAAAGGAGTTAGCCTGAATAATAGTTAAGAGTCCTTTACTTTTCCCTCCATGTTAATTTTCCTTTTAGCCTCATAATACCCCTGGGATTCAAGCTGAGGACAGTCACTTCCACAGCAATGCTTTAGAGACTTGTTCATGATCTCATAGTCAAGCAAACTCAGTTCTCTGAGCTTAGAGATCTTTTTCTGATATAGTTGTTTCAACATGTTTTCTGTCTTAAAAAGACCCAAAGTATACCCAAATCGCACCACTTCAAATTTTTCCGTCTTGTACAGATCCTAGATTATTTTCACAGACCCCTCAAAGAAAGAAAATAGATCTTTACTACAAACCTCTTATTCAAAGAACAGTAATTCTTTAGCAACTAAGAGTCTATAACAGAGGTTGGCAAACCACAGGCCAAATTTGGCCTGATGTCTGCTTTTGTAAATAGTGTTTTATTGGAACATAGCCATGCCTATTTGTTTGCACATTGTCTATGGTTGCTTTTGTGCTACAACAGCAGAGCTGAACACTACATGGCCCACAAAGCCTAAAATATTTACTATTTGGCCCTTTAAAGAAGTTTGCCAATGCCTGATTTAGGTGATCAAATCCAATCTGAAATGTTTCCAACCTCAAGCTAAAGGGAACTGAGTACTATAATCTTCGGGGTTTGTTAATACCAGCCTTTCAGTCAACCGATGTTATTGGCCAAATTCTTGTCCTTCCTGAAGGGCAACTTGTGTTCCTACAGTTCCCAGGGCTAGGCAATCATATCTGTAACTTTCTAAAGCCTTGCTTGCCACACACTGCATGAGCCAATGGAAAGATCAAGTAACTCCGCTGGCACAATCTCCTCAGGGTACTTCTAAGGCTCCAACAGCAGACTTTATGTCAACTCTTGTTTAGTAAGAAACCTTAGCCAACTTTTAGCAATTCTCTCATCTAGAAAGCTGACTTTGTGACTACTGGGAACAAGATATTTGGTGACCCCACTTTAGAAATGAAAGTAAATTTTCAATTAGCAATCTGTAAGCAGAAATTTACACAATCCTTAGGACAATTACCCTCTGAGAACTGAGTTGAAGTTTACTGTTTTATTTGTTGAATCTTCAGTGAAAGTATACCAAAAGCTAGCACATCAGGTGTTTTCACGAGTTTTGAAAAATTAATTTTAACTTACATAGGGGCACACACAGATTACAAATATTTGTTAAGGGGTCAGTCCCAGCTATTTTACAAACACCCTTTTTCAAATTGTTCTAAATTATACTCCTACTAGACCCCATTCCATAACCCTTGGCACAAGGGTTCTGATCCTATTATTAATTTTTATTTATTTATGTATTTAGAGACAGAGTCTCACTCTGTGCCACTGCACTCCAGCCTGTGCAACAATCATAGCTCACTGCTGCCTCAAATTCCTGAGATCCTCCTGTCACAGCCTCCCAAGTAGCTGGAATTACAAGCATGAGCCACCATGCCCAGCTAATTTTTAATTTTTTTGTAGAGACAGGGTCTCACTATGTTGCCCAGGCTGGTCTTGATCTGCTGGCCTCCAGCAATCCTCCTGCCTTGGCCTCCCAAGTAGCTGTGACTTACAGGTGCACACCACCATGCCCAGGTAATTAAAAAAATTTTTTTTGAAGAGATGAGGGTCTCACTATGTCACCTAGGCCGGTCTTTTGATCTCTTGGCCTCAAGCAATCCTCCTGCCTCAGCCTTCCAAAGTGCTGGGATTACAGGTATGATACTATTAACTTATTAAAAACTTATATAGAGGTCCCTTCTTTCAACATACTTTACAAAGTTAATTTGCTGGCTTTTCTACCATCAATTTACTATTTAACAAAAAGAAGACCAATTTAAAAAATATTTAGTATCCAAGGTTCACTTACCTTCAGAATCTCATACATGTAAAATCGAATATCATAGTCTGTTAACGTCTGGTACAATTGCTGTTAAAGACAAATGTTTGAGCCATGAAATAATGCTGACAGAAAGGCATTTTTCACCCTCACCCACAGTAATTCAAACCAAGACTTCGCTCATTTACCGTTGTTCCAAGATCTGTCCATTCACTGCTCTCTATTTCTCCAACATTACATTAATTTTAAAGAGATACTCTGGGTCTTCAACTCTTAAAAGTGAAGAATTACTTAAACATATATTGCAGAAGCTATAATCCACTGTTAGAAACATACCGATCTAGATACATTAATATGCACTGATACACACCTATAATTTAGTTTGTTTTTATCTTCAGACCTTCTCAAAAAAGACATTTTGGCAAATATACTGCCTCCTTACTAGGGAACTAACTCATTTTTGGCTTATGTAGTTAGCCCTGCAGATCACCAGTGGGTATGCAGATGGCATGATGCCAAACCTGTTAAGTCAATTTAAAAAACTATTCTTGTTCCAATAGGAAAGTAAACTCTGTGAACAATTGTTATGTATCCTTTCCAGTTTCCAAAGAGTTGCAGAATGTTTTTTACATGGACATGTCTTTTTTTTTTTTTTTTTGAGACAGGGTCTTACTCTGTTGCCCAAGCTGGAGTGCCGTGCTGCAATCATAACTCACAGCAACCTCAAACTCCTAGGCTCAAGCGATCCTCCTACCTCAGCTTCCCCAGTAGCTAGGACTACAGGCGTAAGCCACCATGCCCAGCCACATGTACATCTCTTTAAATGGTTAGCAATGTCTTCTGACAAAGTTTTTCTTGAAATTATCATTCCGACTCTAAAACAGCTCCTCTTCCTTTTTCCCTATCTCTGCAAAAGAATTCACTAATTTATTAATGTATAACATTCTGTATACTGGAGTGGTGGAAAGGCAAATCAAAGGTCTTCTACAACTTTTACTCCAAAAGAGTAGCTACATTCTTCTGTAAAATTGGAACTGTATGAAATTAAGTAGGCCACTGGATAGATTGGAATTCTGAGATATCTCTTATAGAGGTTTGTGTTATGGCAGAATTTGACATTACCCTTCCTCGATCCCTGCCTTTTAAGATCTATCGCCCACAGTTCCTGAGGAATCCTAAGAAATAAGCAGTCCCTATTTTTATATATACAATATATTTCTTCCAGAACACTATTGTTTAAAGCGAATGTCGTAAGGCCAGATCCTAAGTGAACATGGGTTGCTGCCTTCATTAGGTTGAACATCAGCAGAAACTGTCAACTAAAGGCCGGGCGCGGTGGCTCAAGCCTGTAATCCCAGCACTTTGGGAGGCCGAGACGGGCGGATCACGAGGTCAGGAGATCGAGACCATCCTGGCTAACACGGTGAAACCCCGTCTCTACTAAAAAAATACAAAAAACTAGCCGGGCGAGATGGCGGCGCCTGTAGTCCCAGCTACTCGGGAGGCTGAGGCAGGAGAATGGCGGGAACCCGGGAGGCGGAGCTTGCAGTGAGCTGAGATCCGGCCACTGCACTCCAGCCTGGGCGGCAGAGCAAGACTCCGTCTCAAAAAAAAAAAAAAAAAGAAACTGTCAACTAAGTAGTGAGAAGTAAATGTATTGGTCATTAAAAAGAACATTAAACAAATGGGCAAAATATCAAGATGCAGAAAGTGGACACTGCTTGTATAGGAGTTCTTCTATCTTAATTTGCACTGTAAGGATGAAAATCTTTTTAAAAACAAATTCGAAGCAAGCTCTTCTAACAGCATCATCCCCAAAGGCTATGTGGTCTAAAAACCCACTAGCCCGAAACAGTTGGTTATAGATTATACCTTGAAGTCTGTGTTGTTTACGTGTTCAAAAACCAAGGCGGGGGTTCGTGACTAGGGGAAAAGAACAAAAACAAAAACACACATTAGCAATAGCCCTGACAGCTTTAGTGAGGACAATGTTTGCGGATGCTGCATGGTGAATTTGGCAGTCCTTGCCTCAGTAGTAAGAAACCCTCTATTGCTACAAGCCCTCCCCGCTCTGATTATCACCACACTTAGGTCATTTTTGGGATGGATTTCAAACAGAAGACATGGAGCTGAAGTCTCACCAGGCTCTAGGCAGCCCGACAATGCGCCCATCGCCCATCGGCATCGGACCTGAGTTTGCAAAATGGATTAACACATTTCAGTTTCCAGTGCTATCAGTCTCTTAGCCTAGAAGAATAAGAAATAGTCTGTGGGTGGAGGTCTCTTTGAAAGAAAGACCCAAGCTAGTTAAATGGTATATCTGATTAAGCACTTTCAAAGCAGGACTTAATGATGAGGGTTGGGGGAGGGAACAAAAAGAGGCCAGTTGTGCTCCAGGTCAAACACCATCTCAGCCCTGGTGGGCCTTGCTAACACCTACTATACTCACCACAGGGTCTTTTACAATGTCTGCCAGTGTGATGATGTTGGGACCTCCTCTCAAATTCTCCAAAATCTTTATTTCACGCTTAATTTTCTTCTTTTTTACTGGCTGAAAGGGGAAAAGTACATCAGCAAAAAAAAAAAAAAAGACACTCTTTTTCAGAGTATTTCAACATGTAGTGTAATACATAAATGGCTTACTTATGAGCACCTTGAAGGAAGAAAATGTCACATTCATCTCTGAATCCTTCTCCTAGCACTGTGCCAGGTATTCTGCAGGTACTTACAAACGTTGAATTGAAAGAAAAAAAGATTTCTATTCCAAAGACCAGACTTCTGCAGAATTAGTATTTCAATCATCAGTCTTGATGTTCATGTTTTAAAACATGTTAAACATGTTAATGTCTTAAAACCTTACAAAGTAGCAATTTAAATGGTTAGTAATACTAAAGAATATCTTGAAAAGCTTTTCATCAATTAGGATGAAACATGGTCCCTTTCCATTTCTTCCTCTCATCAGGGCCAACAACGATGGTCAAAACATCTTTATGTAGCATAACCCTGAGGGTAAAGTGTGGGTCTTGGAGTCATAATGCCCAATGTGAAACCTACCTTTACTACCTGCTAGCTGTAATGGCAAACTACATAACCTCTCTAAGCCTTTCGTTAAGTGTAAAATGAATAACAAGAGTACCCATCTCATAAGATTGTTCCAAGAATCAAATGAGGTATTTGAAAGACTTCGGAATATGGCTGGAACATAACATAATAATAACTGTCTAGCCTGATCGCCAATACTCTTTTTTTTTTCTTTTTGAGGTGGAGTCTCGCTCTGTCGCCCAGGCTGGAGTGCAGTGGCGTGATATCGGCTCACTGCAAGCTCCACCTCCCGGGTTCACGCCATTCTCCTGCCTCAGCCTCCCGAGTAGCTGGGACTACAGGCACCTATCACCATGCCCAGCTAATTTTTGTATTTTTAGTAGAGATGGGGTTTCACCGTGTAAGGCAGGATGGTCTCGATCTCCTGACCTCGTGATCTGCCTGCCTCGGCCTCTAAAGTAGCATTCTAAAAAGAGTACTCTGCAGAGTGTATCTTAAACATTCCTTTGTCCTCACCCATCCTTTCCACATCTGTTCTAGTATGGAATCCTTTCCATTTTTTTTCTGAGGAGGGCCTTGGTCCAACTGTACCTCCTTTATAAAGCCTCCTCCTTCTTTTCTTTTCTTTTTTTGAGATGGAGTCTTGCTCTGTTGCCCAGGCTGGAGTGCAGTGGCACGATCTCAGCTCACTGCAACTTCCACCTCCCAGGTTCAAGGAATTCTCCTGCCTCAGCCTCCGGAGTGGCTGGGATTACAGGCACATGCCACCACGCCTGGCTAATTTTTGTATTTTTAGTAGAGATGGGTTTTACCATGTTGGCCAGGCTGATCTCGAACTCCTGACCTCATGATCCAACTGCCTTGGCTTTCTAAAGTGCTGGGATTACAGGCATGAGCCACCATGCCTGGGCTTATAAAGCCTTCTCCTGAATAGTCTAAAACAGTCTTGGACCAAAGGAAATACAATGCAAACCACATGTGTAATTTTAAACGTGTTTCTTGTGTAGCCACATCAAGAAACTTAAAAAAAGGACAAAATTAATGTATTTTATTAATCTAAAAATCTTATTTTAACATATAAATCAATGTAAAAAATTACTAATCTATTTTACCTTCTTTTTTCTGTATTAAACCTTTGAAATTTAGTATATTTTACCCTTACAGCATATCTCAATTCAGCCCAGCCACATTTCAAGTGCTTAACAGCCTCATGCGGCCTGTGTGCCTGCTGTACTGGACGGTGCAGGTCTTTTCCGAGAGTGTTGGTCACCTCAGACTGGATGCCCTGCATAGAACTCTTAGAAGTTAAATACATCTCATCTCTTCATTTACAAGACTGGTAGTTACTAAAGTTTGATGACCAACAATCACCTGGATTTTTTTTAACATACAGACTCACAGAACCCACCAAGATTTACTAAATCAGAATCTTGAGAGGGAAACGGGGTATTTATTTTTAGATACTTTTCAGGCTGATGATCCAGGTCCAGAAACTACTAAATAATATACTATAAATTCTTTTAACTTTGTCTTAAGCCTCAAGCACATGGTAGCAGAAAGCAAGCAGATTTTGACAGTTCTCAAAACCTGGCTTTGTGGTTGCGCAGTGTTCAGAAAAGCATTTAAATGTTTCTCATTGCTGAAAGGGACTATACTTGCCCGTCAGTGATTTACATACCACAGTTAGAACAGGTCCAATGCAAAGGGGTACCCAATAAATAGAAGCTATTTTACTGATGACTTCCACGTAGTCCACATTGAATTCAACCCACAACCTCTTACCCAATACAATATCTACCTAAGAAACAAGATAATAGAAGTTTTCTCTTCCTGCTGGGAGATCTTTCTACCCTGCAGAGACTAACCCAACAACTTACCTACTGTTTTTCATTAACCCAATTGCTGGATTTTTTAGTGGGAAAAAAAGCTTCTGGTTGACAAAACTATTCTACAGAATCCTTCGAATCTATAAACTTAAAAAGCTGGTTTGTGACAGACCAGGCAGCTGACTCAGGCCCTAATTTAATGTGATCAATGCCACTTTTTCTTATTAAATAAATAGGGGAGATTAAAAATTTTAAATATGGTTTACGAAGGAACTTCATCTATACTTACACCACCTACCCACAGTTACAGTAAAATATACAATACAGTTAGAAAAACTGAGCTGAAAAAAATCTTTCTAAATCACCCTTCACTCAAAACCATCAAGGGCTCACAATTATCTACAAGAGACAAGTCAGAATTTTAAGACTGCAAGGAAATGCAGAGATTTTTCCAGGCCTTCATCAACTTAATCTCTCTTTCCAAGTTCAACTCCTATATGTGGTCACATAACATCTTTCACACGAAATATTTCTCTCACTTTTCCCTCTTCCTCTTTTCTTATCTTGGTGTACTCTATAGCCTGCTTCCCTTCACCACTTCCACCCAACACCTATCCAAATCCTCCTCCCATTTAGCCTGAAGACAGCTCCAGGGAGCTTTTCCTAACTACTACCCTCTTCTGAACTGTAGACCCGCTATTCATGCTTTTCATGTGGCTCTAAATAATAATATATCACCTCATTCTATCATATACCTTTCCATATGAATATCACCATACAATCATAAAGAACTCTAGTCTCCAAGGCATGTATATATGCACACAATTTTGTATTTAATCCTTTTTGTTTTTCGACACAGGGTCTCACTCCCATCGCCCAGGCTGGAGTGCAGTGGGTTTCATCACAGATCAGTGCAACCTTCAACTTCCAGGCTCAAGTGATCCTCCCACTTTAGGCCCTCGACGAGCTGCGACTAAAGGCACATGCCACTACACTCAGCCAATATTCTTTTTAATAGATGGATAAACATGTCCTAGGTTAAAAGGACTACTGTGGCTAGTCACCCAAATGTTTTGATTTCCAACCTAGTTCTCTTTCTACATATTTCAAGAGAGATATAAATACTTAAACTCTTTGGTTCTCAAATGGCATGTGAGGCACCCCAGCAATGCACAGGAGTACTGTGGAATACTTTAAATTTTTTGAGGAAAACACACCAAACAATCATTGCATCTGTCAGACACTGGGTGCACTACCAGCTTGAGGTAGTTTGTAGTTTCAACATTAGATTGTATTATATTCCTTGTGAGGGCGCATATTTTTTGTGAAGTTGGGTTTGCAGTAGTTGCTGTGATAAAAAGCAAGTACTGCGCAAAAATCAATGACAGGATATGAGGGTGGTGGTGTCCAATCCGATTACAACATTTGAAAAGCTATGCAGTAACAGGTCTACATAACCCGATGGTAATAAATTATAGTTACTAAGAATAAAATTATTATTTTTCTTTTTATTTATGTGAGTAACTTTTTAAATGGCTACCAAGTTGTTAAAATAGAAATACTTAGCGGCCAGGTGCAGTGGCTCATGCCTGTAATCCTGGCACACTGAGAGGCCGAGGGGGGCGGATCACCTGAGGTCAGGAGTGTCAGACCAGCCTGACCAATATGGTGAAACCCCATCTCTACTAAAAATACAAAAATTAGGCAGGCATGCTGGCATGCACCTGTAGTCCCAACTACTCGGGAGGCTGAGGCAGGAGAATTGCTTGAACCCAGGAGGCGGAGGTTGCAGTGAGCTGAGATCTCGCCACTGCACTCCAGCCTGGGTGACAGAGCGAGACTCTGTCTCAAAACAAAAACAAAAACAAAAAATAAATAAATAAATAAATAAATAAATAAATAAAACTTAGTTATTTGGACCTTGCTACTTAATACACAGATGAGGTATTTCTTGACTTACGAGTACCATGAAAAATTACTAAGATAGTATAAGTGTTATAAATTGAGAAAGTTTGGAAACTTCTACTTTTCAGTGTCAAATATGAAAAAGTTCCTGTGATAAGGAACTGTATGTTAAATTCCCAATATAAGACAGTGCACAGCATAGTTATAACTAAATTAAAAGTTGTATATTGGTAGCCCAGAGGCCAAATCTGGCCTGTGCATTGTCTTTTTAAATCTTGAGCCAACACAAGTCAGGAGAATTCATATACAAATATAAATTTCTGGCTTTTCTTTGCAAAACAGAGTATGAAGCAACAATGGACTTGCATTACTGCAGGGCAATCATGAGCTTCAGCTGAGAAGCAGCTAACTCCTTTTGAAGAGGCATGTGTTTCCCAGTTTGTTTCAGTCCCTATCACTCACATCTAAGCATGGGCAATTACACCAGACTAGCTGCACTGATATCATCTGTCTGTCCCCCTTAAGTCCTGTGACTCCTCATCCTTACAAAGTAGAGGCAATTATTTATTTATTGAAAATAAAAGCCTCATTATATAATGAAAAGTATAGGAAATAAGTATTAGGCAAGAACTGGGAGAGAAGAGACTGTACCTTTGCTCCCTTACTCTGCCACAACCTAGCAATATAAGTCAACTCAAATCACTTCTCTTGCTTCAGTTTCCTGATCTGTCAAATAAGCAGAACTTGTTCTATTGAGTTCACAGTATACAACAAAATTTTATTTATTTGCTTTGGCACCAAAAACTTTTAAAATGCTGTTTTAAAAAAGTCTTCACAATCTTCACAACTATTTTTAAAAATCTATATTCCAAATACCTCTGAAATTATCTCTTGTACTCACCTTGAGAATTTTAACGACAACTTTTTCATTATTTGTGATGTTGATGGCTTCAAATACTTCACTGTATTTACCTCGGCCTAATTTTCGAACCAGCTGGTAGTCATCTTGATTTCTGTGGATACAAACAAAATGACTTATAAATGGTCAAATTATCAAGCATCAATTCAACTTACAGGAATCTACTGCCAGCAGGTGTAAAAGAAATAAGAGGTATTTCAAATAATTCCCAAATTGGTTTCATTGTATTTTTTTTAATTAGGCCACTTAAAAATACATGTTCCAAATCCTAGAATTAGAAAAACTTACACCTTTCAATTGTTCTTTCAAATCCCAAACTGTTTACATCTTTATTGGCACATGACATGGAGCTAGCTTGTATTAAGGTTTGTTCTGAATATGTTTGTCTCCAACAAGAGACAGCTTTCCCCAAGAGAATAATTTTTATATATTCTTGTCCCTTAGGGCTTGGTCCAGTGTCGGCACTTAGCAGGAACTCAAAACATTTTGCAAGACTGTTTCAATCTAGCTAACTTTGGCAGCAGCTGATTTTTAACAGGCCTCTTTGAAGGTAAATGGCTTTCAAATGTATAGGCTTAATCTATTTGCCCTCCAGGGCAAGCTCTGGGGATAGTACATGTGTAGTCAAGTTCACAGAGCACACTATAGATTGTAAACTATAGTCAGTGGTCCCTTCTTCTACTTACACCCATATTCTGTGACCAATAAGCAACATGAGAGGTAATAAACAGAGGTAGAATAAGGGAAATGCCAACATTTTCCTCCTGCCCCTGCCTGCTTTCAGTGTAGAGGGCTTTGCTCTGAAGAATGACAAACACAGTTCCATTAAGGCATAAATTCTATCTACTCCTGCTGGAGCTACTAAGTATCCAATATGAACCAAATCAACCATATCAACCATTCATTTTCCTCAAGTAGCTAAAAAGAAAGTGAATGAAAAGACAAAAGGTACTAAAAACAATGGACAACATTATAATCACGGCAGGTCTAGGGGAAGAAAGCTCCTACTTCTTTCTGTCTGAGTTCTCTTCCTATGGGAGGGTATACAAAACAAATGCGAGCAAACGAACAGTACCATGTCAAAAGCCCAAAAGGGCTCTTTAGTGCCATTTAGGCAGAACCAAGTGCAAAGCACTCAATTTGAAGATAGCAGTTGAAATTCCTATAGTAAACAGTGTTACCTAGAGTCCAAAGCCTGTGACATAAACGGAAAACTGTTAGATTATCAGTAGTAACAACATTTATTGGTAGTAAACCACACTGGCACTTAATGGTGTCTTTACAGCATACAGTGTCTCTGTATTCAGAAGCAATGTTAAGAATCATGGCATACTCAAGTTAGCTGGGTGGGGCGGCAGATGCCTGTAATCCCAGCTACTCCGGAGGCTGAGGTGGGAGAATCGCGTGAACCCAGGAGGCGGAGGTCACAGTGAGCTGAGATCACGCCACTGCACTGCAGCCAGGGCGACAGAGCAAGACTCATCTCCACACACACACACACAAAAATCATGACATACTCAAGATTAAAAATACACCCTATGACAATTTAGGAAAGCATCCACTAACCACTTACAGGTTATGGAAATCACATGCAGTCAGATATAAAATACAGCATACAAGAGCTGCAGCTTTGGTTTTCAAATTGCTTTCTTTTGCACTTGAATATCAAAATGCTTTTATCACACAAGTATGATCTGACCAATTAAATGTCTACCACACTGGGACAGGAAATGCAAACATCCAAATGAGTCTGTACAGAGAATTAGGAGGGCAAACACGGCTGCTCAGGCAGATTACAACTGTTCAAGATAGAATTTGGGCTGAATTCCATGTTAAGACATGCCTAGTCTCAGGATGAGGGCAAATGTTTAAGAATTTAATTCTGCTTCTCATCAGAAAGAAGTTACCTTTTTGGAGAACTGTTTCATCCTCCTGTATCAACATGAAACAACATTCTCTACCTCAAAATACTTTATGTAAGATTTTGGTGTTTTCAAAATCTCTCAAGTATCGACTCTCACTGATCTGCAATGCCCTTAGCTTGATAAGCAAGCTGATAGGTAACTTTTTGTTGCCAGGTGCCTGTATAGAATACTGTCATGAGTTATTTAATGACATTCTGAGAAATGTGTTAAACACGAGAGTGTTTATACAAACCTACATGGTATGGCATACTACATACCCAGGGTATAGCCTATGGTTCCTAGGATACAAATGTGTACCGTAATAAACAGGCAATTGTAACACAATGGTATTTGTGTATCTAAATATAGAAAAGGTAATGAATGCATTGTTGATGTTACGATGACATCATTAGGCCACAGAAATTTTTCAGCTCTCTTATAATCTTATGGTACTGTCCTACATGTGGTCTGTCATTAATTCAAACGTTGTTATGTGGTGCATGACTGCATATAAATCAGAGAAAAGGATAAGAAACTAAAATGATTTTTAAATGGCAAGCCCATTTAAAAATTCACTTGCCAAAGCAACTCTGCTTCTTCACTGCAAAACCAAATTTTCAGCTCAAAAGAAGAAAACACAAATTGGGCTTTGATCTTGAGGTATACACATACAGAGTCATGGAGGTTTTCTGACAAAAACTACTCAACAGATCCACAAGATTCAGCCCTTTGAGTGAGTATAATGAAGTCAACAAAAACAATTACCCCCATTCCACCACATGTGACTCGTAATCCCAGTATTCTCGAGGTCTGTGTGTATTAACATCTGTGTAAACTCTGGCCCTGCTTGGCACGGGTCCCGACATGTCAGACAGGTTGGCGGACAAAGCTGGACTTGATGTTTGGAGATCTGGCAGTCACTGTGTTCAGAGGCAGCTGGGGGTAAGACCTTGTTTCAGACCTGTTTTCTTCAAACTGCAGAAACAAAATGCACAAAGTCCAAGGAATCATTTGCAGAAGGTATATGGGAAGGAAATAATCTTACAAATAATAACGGCTTGAAATATACCTCTGGCTCTCCTACTTATAGCCAATAAATACAGCTCAACTGTGTCAACCAGTGCTTCCTATGAGAAGAAAAATACCAAGAAATACAGTAAACTGATATTTGCTTTAATCATATTTTGCCAAGTATCCTGTTACGTATGCATGCAAAATTTGAATAATTTTTGTAAGACAGCCTGGAAGAGAAAAATGGCATTGAGGATAGATACATCAGCATTACCACTATTTATATATTCTACAAAAGGTATTGGAAAGAAAAGTACTTTCCTTTCAGCAGCTTTCTGTAACTTAAGTAGGGGAGCTAAAAGGTTCTAGAATGGCGGCAAAGCCGAGAGTACAACTTGTCAGTCTGACTCATATTTGATGAAACCAGGAAGAGAATAAAGACTTGTTCTCATATGTCAAAGTTCCATGTCATCTTATAGCAATCCAAATCTTGTGGGGGAACCTTATGGTAATAATCAGTAGAAACTTGATCACCATTTGAAAGACACACTTGATTTCATTAAATTTAAAAACAGAAATCAGTAATATTCTCTTTATATTTAATACAGGAGCTTAAAAACTGGCATAAAACAGTAATACAGACTAGCTGAACTATGCAAAATTTGACACTGGTGGAAAATAAGTAAAATGTTAGAAATATGCTATCAAATCAGGTTCCTTTCCAATGATGTCTTCCCTATCTCCTACAGCATTTGCTGATTCCCCTCATTATGCACTTAGATGAAATTGTATTGAGTTTCCAAATGTGATAACTGAGAAGGATACAACACTTATGCAGTTTCCTGACTGAGAGAGCATAACTTCAATTTGTATGTGTGTATGTATGTATGTATTTTAAGACAGGGTCTTATTCCACTGCCCAGGCTGGAGTGCAGTGGTGTGATCATGGCTCACTGAAGCCTCAACTTCCTGCGCTTGGGTGATTCTTCCACCTCAGCCTCCCAGGTAGCTGGGACTACAGGCATGTGCCACCACCCTCAGCTAATTTTTTGTATTTTCAGTAGAGACCGTGTTTCAACATGTTGCGCAGGCTGGTCTTGAACTCCTAGGCTCAAGCAATCCTCCCACTTCAGCCTCCCAAAGTGCTGAGATCACAGGTGTGAGCCACCGCACTCAGCCATAACTTCAATTCAGAAAAAGAGGAAGTGTCTATTTAAAAATGGGAAAGAGGTACTATACTCCTAAAACATGTCCATATCATAAAAGACAAATGGAGGCTAAAGAGACACTGCATAAATGCAATACTCTATTCTAGACTGTATTCCATACTGCAGCAGGTGGAAGTGGGGACGCTATAAAAAACAATATTGACAGAACTGGAATTCAGAGGGTATTAAATTATTGTATCAATGTAAATTTGTGAAGTTGGTACATAATCACAGCAGTTACGATAATATATCTATTCTTCTTTTTTGAGACGGAGTTTCCCTCTTGTTGCTCACGCTGGAGTACAATGGCGTGATCTCAGCTCACTGCAACTTCTGCCGCCTTCCGGGTTCATGCGATTCTCCTGCCTCAGCCTCCCCAGTAGCTGGGATTACAGGCATGCGTCACCACGCCCGGCTAATTTTGTATTTTTAGTAGAGACGGGGTTTCTCCATGTTGGTTAGGCTGGTCTCAAACTCCCGACCTCAGGTGATCCACCCGCCTCGGCCTCCCAAAGTGCTAAGATTACAGACGTGAGCCACCGCGCGCAGCTCAAGAATATGTCTATTCTTTTTTTTTTTTTGAGACGGAGTCTCGCTCAGTCACCCAGGCTGGAGTGGAGTGGCCGGATCTCAGCTTACTGCAAGTTCCGCCTCCCGGGTTTACGCCATTCTCCTGCCTCAGCCTCCCAAGTAGCTGGGACTACAGGTGCCCGCCACCTCGCCCAGCTAGTTTTTTTTGTATTTTTTAGTAGAGACGGGGTTTCACTGTGTTAGCCAGGATGGTCTCAATCTCCTGACCTCGTGATCCGCCTGTCTTGGCCTCCCAAAGTGCTGGGATTACAGGCTTCAGCCACCGCGCCCGGCAAGAATATGTCTATTCTTAAGAAATTTTCCTGAATTAGAAGTAAACAGCCATGATGCATATAATCTACCCTAAAATGATTTAGAAAAAAAGTGTGCCCACACGTCTACATGTGTATATATAGAGCACACATGACCACACACACACAAATGATAAAACAAGTTGGGTAAAATATTACAATAGGTAAATTTGCGTAAAGGGAATAGAGATGCCCTTTGTACGATTTCTATTTACTTTTTGTTGAAACTTTTTTGTTTGAAACAAGGTGTCACTCTGTAGGCCAGGCTAGAGTACAGTGGTCTGATCAACAGCTCACCGCAGCCTTGACCTCCCAGGCTCAAGCAATCCTCCCACCTCCGCCTCCCAAGTAGTTGGGACCACAGGCGTGGGTTACCACACCTGGCTAATTAAAAAAAAATTTTTTTCTGTAAAGATGGGGTCTCCCTATGTTGCTCAGGCTGGTCTCAAACTCCTGGGTTCAAGTGATGCTTCCACGCAGCCTCCCAAAGTGCTGTGATTATAGGAGTGAGGCACTGTGCCCAGCTTGTTGAAACACTTTTTAAAATTGTGGTAAAATATACATAACATAAACTTTATGGCCAGGCACAGTGGCTCACTATGGGAGGCTGAAGAGGGTAGATCGTTTGAACCTAGGAGTTCACACCCAGTCTGGGCAACATGGCAAAACCCCGTCTCTACTGAAAATACAAAAAATCAGCCAGGTGTGGTGGTGTGTGCCTGCAGTCCCAGCTACTTGGGAGGCTGAGGTGGGAGAATCACCGGAGCCCAGGAAGTTGAGGCTACAGTGAACTGTGATTGTACTACTGCACTGCAGCCTGGGTGACAGGAGACAGACCCCAACTAAAAAAAATAAAAACTACCATTTTATCTATATTTAAACATAAAGTTCAGTTACATTAAGTATATTCACATTCTTGTGCAATTATCACCAGATCATCCATTTCTACAAATTTTTACTATCCCAAATTAAAACTACGTATCCACTAAACACTAATTTTCCCTCCCTCTAACTCTTCGCAACCACTATTCTATTTTCTGTCTGAGTTGGCTATTCTAGGAATCTCATACAAGTGGAATCAGACATTTGTCTTTTGTTTTGTTTATTTAATTTAGCATAATGTCTTCAAGGTTGATCCATGTTGTAGCATGTGTTGGAATTCCAATCCTTTTAAAGGCTGAATGATATTGCACTGTATATATATGTATATATATATTTGTCTTATGTATACACACACACACACACACACACTACATTTTGCTTATCCATTTATCTGCTGATGGACACTTGTTGCTTCCACAGCTTGGCTATTGTAAATAATGCTGCTATGGACATAGGTGTACAAACATCTGTCTGAGACCTTGCTTTCAAATCTTTTAGGTATATATCCAGAAGTGGAATTGCTGAACCATGTAGTAATTCTATGTTTAATTTTTTGAGGAACCAGCATATTGTTGCAACAAGCTGGGCACGGTAGCTCACTCCTATAGAGCAACTGTATCATTTTACACTCCCACGAACAGGGCAAAAGCTACAACTTCTCTATACCCTTACTAACATTTGTTATTTTCTGTTTTTTGCTTGTTTTTATAGAGACAGGGGTCTTGCTTATGCCCAGGCTGGTCTTGAGCTCCTGGCCCTCAAGGGATCCTTGCACCTCGGCCTCCCAAAGTGCTCTCAAAACAGGCTGTGCCTGGCCTATTTCTGGTTTTTCTTCTTCTTCTTTTTTTTTCCCCCCAGTAACAGCCCTCCTAATGAGTATGAAGTCATATCTCATTGACTGTGATTTTAATTTGCATTTCCCTAATGATTAATGATGTTGAGCATCTTTTCACATGCTTATTGGCCATTTGTATATTTGCTCTGGAGAAAAGTCTATTCAAAGCCATTGTCCATTTTTTGATTGAGTTGTTTGTTGACGATGCATTTGTTATCTATACTATTTTTTTGCTGCTTACAAACTGCTCATCTTTCCAAAGCTGTACTTAAGCTGTAACTTAGCTACCATACCCAGAGAGAAGCCAGAAGACATACCTCCTTATGCTCATGGTGTCAGCAGCTAAAGGCTTTCAGAAGAATAGCAAGAGACTGGGATGGAGATTAATTCTGTATTCCTTAACCATGACAAACACAATTAATGATACTCCACTCCAAATACATGAGATCAAAAGATTCACATGCTGACTTATGAATTCTTCCACCCAAAAAACTCCTGTAACTTGCCTCTGTTCAACTCAAACCTCCTGAGGTTCCATAAATGTACTAAATGACCAGAAAACAACAGTCATTCAAGTACCAGAAGTCTTTAAAATTATTTCTATTTCTTTGATTTTATAAAACCTGGGTGACATTAATCTATCTTCACTTAGTATCAGTTAAAAGTGTAACCACACACACACACAAACACATCAAACATGCAAAAAAAAACAGATGTTTTCTTATATTTTTTCTTCTTCCCAAAGAAACAAGGTCACCTATGTTGCAGGATTGGATGACTTTCTGTGACTACTATGCCTGCACTGACAGCAATGAAAGATACTAGGAAAACAGTAAATAAAGCTGTGGGTGTGAATATGGCCAAAATAGTATAAACAACAGCATGAACCCAACAGAAATACTATCCCCAGAAATTTATGACTTTTAATATACTAAACTTTTAAATTCTCAGCCTCTCCTCTGACTGAAACAGTATCTTTCTCTTTAGTCTCTACATACCTTTACACTTCACTCTTCCGGTTAACATTTTATACTTGTAAGACAGCCTTCATCAGAGGATCTAAAACCCCTCTTCCTATAGCTTAAAAAGTGATCTCTCTGTTGGGCTTTTTCCCAGCTTTGGTTCATCACTTATAAAACTTAACTGTGCTTGCAGACT